TGTTTTGTTCACCATGACGAACCACTAAGTTGGTATGCTGAGTGGCAGTGGCAGGCAGTGACTGGCTGCCACTGGCTGCCACTCCCTCTCTCACCTCACCTCACCTGACTTGCCACCATTCTCCACCCACCATACTGTTTTTGCTTTTATATACAGACGTTATATATAAGTATTTACATGTTTTGTTCACCATAACTGTACATCTAAGCTTGTATGGTGAGTAAAGGCACAAAGACGTAGCTACTCACAGTCAGCTGGTGGCGGCCGCCCTCAAGGCCAGACGCACTAATATTTCTCCTACAACAATACTGTTTGTGGTGTTATTACGCTATATACACACATTATATATAAATATCTACCTGTTTTATTCACCATACTTGTACAAGTAAACTGGTATGGTGCCCAAAGACCATCATGGTCATCAGTAAACAACATGGTAAGTCCTGCAGACGACGCTCCTCCCTCAAAATGGCGGCTCCCAACCTCCTACTCTCGCTGTTATCTCACACTATACACACGTTATATATAAGTATCTAGATTTATGTTCACCATAGCGAACCACTAAGTTGGTATGGTGAGTGCAGTCAATAAAAGGTGGCCACACACACTCAAAAGACAACGCCACCATCCTCCCTCCCACAGCATTACTCCTCCCTCCATGGCGCACAGTGCCAAATATCACCACAATCCTGCTATTATCAGAACCCTGGTCAGTTTTATCACAGTCAGGGGTCTTCTGTAATAATATCATCGCTACATAATAGCATGAACAAGTATATTATGGCATTTTTAGGCGATGCTGTGGTCACAAGCTGAACAGCAGTGCTGTGAGTTCATGCTGCGTGCATCAGGCTTGGTAGCTGACTCAATACTGAGGCCCCTAACACCCGGGAGTTTGGCTCACGATTTTAAAAAAAAATGGTGTTTGTTTACAAGAGCCCTGATGAAGGTGTGGTGAACCCCGTGTATCCGCGGGCCGTTTAAATCTTGCGTAGTACTCCAAAGCATTACATGATGCGATGCGCAATTTACTGCAAGTCGGTCAAAGCATCATATGATGCGATGCGCAATTGAAGGGTTAATACATGAAAATTAACATATTTTGGCATAAATATTTTACAGCTAAGATTGAAATTTTTAATACAGAATGGATGAGAGGTTTGGCAGCCATGCGTGGTCAGCAACCGTCCTCCCCCTTCGCCACTCTTACAAACGTCACCACCCTACATCACCACCAACGCCTCCCTCACCACCAACGCCTCCCTCACCACCAACGCCTCCCTCACCACCAACGCCTCCCTCACCACCACCTCCTCCCTCCCTCACCACCAATGCCTCCCTCCCTCACCACCAACGCCTCCCTCCCTCACCACCAACGCCTCCCTCACCACCACCACTGCCTCCCTCACCACCACCACCGCCTCCCTCACCACCACCACCGCCTCCCTCACCACCACCACCACCGCCTCCCTTACCACCACCACCGCCTCCCTCACCACCACCACTGCCTCCCTCACCACCACCACCGCCTCCCTCACCACCACCACCGCCTCCCTCACCACCACCAATGCCTCCCTCACCACCACCGCCTCCCTCCCCACCACCACCACCACCATCACTCCCTTACCACCACCACCACCATCACTCCCTCACCACCACCATCACTCCCTCACCACCACCACCACCATCACTCCCTCACCACCACTACCACCATCACTCCCTCACCACCACCATCACTCCCTCCCTCACCACCACCACTGCCTCCCTCACCACCACCACTGCCTCCCTCACCACCACCACTGCCTCCCTCACCACCACCACTGCCTCCCTCACCACCACCACCACTGCCTCCCTCACCACCACCACTGCCTCCCTCACCACCACCACTCCCTCACCACCACCACTCTCTCACCACCGGGAAAGCAAAATATAATACTGTACAACTGTTTACACTTTGTTGATGACAGTGGCTGTCATCAACTATGACAGCTTGGTCTCGGTGATCGCTTGGACAAACATTCCTCGCTTAATCCTTAAACCGCGCAAATCATATATATATATGATATCAGTGACAAAACCGAAACCGCACACATCATTTATATATGCTTTCGTGTCTAGCGCTATAATTTAAACGCCCTGCGTGGGATAGGGGTAGTCATCGGCGAGCCTCAACCGACCATAAACAAACCCCGCCTGGGAAAAAAATCCAGTGTTGATCCCCTTTGTGTACAGGCCTCCGTTACCCGGTGGACACCATGGCGAGCGCATCAAGTTCCAACGACCGACCCCGCTCAGCGAGGCGTTCCTCGCGACCTCTGACCGAGGATAAAATTAACAAGAATTTGTTCTCAGATGGTGATGAGTCTGATATTGACGACTCAGACTTTGATCATGACTACACACAGCCCTCAGAGGTGGATACGACCAACGACAAGTGTGAACATGCTGGTTCCACCAGGGCTAGGCCTAGCATCTCGCCCATGCCTCCTCGCCCTCACTCGACCCCAATTTGTGCAAGACCACACAGTTCATGTGCTCCCTTGCAAGATATTGATGTTTTGCTCGGCTATTCTGAAGAAGGTTAATCATTTTCCGATTTTAGTGACTTTGAATCGGAAAATAGTTTCGCTAGTGCAAGTGGACTGTGTGGTGTTGCCAAGTGACAACTTGTCATGTCAGCAGCATCTGGCCAAGCCATCCGGCACCGCATGGCACCACATGAACAAAGACCCTCAACATGGAGTAATTTTCCGTCACCGTCCCTGCCCGTCCCTACTGTTCCTAGACCTGCTTCAGCTCCTGGTCCACGGTTTCCTCGCCATGATGCCACTATTGACTCTCGAAAGACACCCAGTGTTTTTGTGTGGAGTGATGGGACAGATTTTGTTTCACAAATTCCTGGTTTTGATAATTCAGATGTTGGAATTACAGACATTTTCCCTGATAGAGGTGCAGATATGTGTGAAATGGACTATTTTACTGCATATTTTGATGAGCCGCTAATTGAATATATTGTTCATGAAACGAACAAATATGTGACTGATCTCATTGATGAGGAGTTATCCGATTATTCACATTTGCAGCGATGGAAAGATACGACTGTAGGTGAAATGTATGTGTTTTTGGCACTGTGTATGTTGATGAAAAATTGTGTCAAACACGTAATCGACCATTATTGGAGCAAAGACCATACTGTTCCAACACCGATGTTCAGCAAATATATGTCTCGAGACCGATTTGTGAAAATCCTCAGGTGTCTTCACTTTGCAAATGATGAAGACCGGAATGATGATGATAGACTTTGGAAGGTAAGGCACGTCCTGAATGAACTTATTGGAAAGTACAGGGATTTCTACATACCAGCTCAGAAGCTTGTGATTGACGAATCCCTTGTGCTTTTCAAAGGACGTCTCGCCTTCAAGCAGTATATTCCTTACAAGCCACTGATTTGGATTGAAATTCTTTGTACTCTGTGACTTTGAAACAGGAATGGTGTTACATATGATAATGTATACGGGTACAAATGTAGACCTTCCTGGTAATGACCAACATGGCTTCTCAGGTAGTGTTGTGAAGTCACTGCTTGCACCATATCTGAACAAGGGCCACATATTATACACAGATAACTATTATTCCAGTCCCTTGCTAACTAGGTTCTTGCTTGATAATAGAACTGGAGTGTGTGGCACAGTGAAGGCAAAACGAAGTTAAATGCCAGTGTTTCCAGGTGCTATGCAGGTTGGTGATTGCGAGCTCAGAAAAACAGGTGGAATACAGTGTGTCCTCACTTGAACGAACTATATGGGGCGAGGCCGATTCGTTCCAGTGCGGAATTCGTTCCATCCGTCCGGCCCCAAAAAAACCCCTCTGACTTCCCCCCCCCCCCAAAAAAAAAAAAAATAAAAAATTTTTTAACCTTAATTTATGTAATCTTTCTAAATCTAAAATCTAGTTTATAAATCTAGCAATAAATTGTTTGTGTTTTATTGTACTTACCTTAACAGTTGAGTTGTGTAGTGCAGACTTTTAGCCTCAATACCCTGAGAGTGCCAGATATGATATGAATATAAATTCATTAAGGAACAGTAACTTTTCTAACAAATGTACATTATACACTACAGTCTGTACATAAAGTAAAAACCACTAGAATCACACTACAGTACTTAAGTAAACGTATACTGACTGTACTGTATCACTTAAACTACACTTTTTACACTTTGTACATTTATGTCATTAGAACTGTGTTGTACAGCTCAATTGGCACTCCCAGGTAAGTTATGGCTAGTGCTGGGTGCTGGTCCAGTTGCCCGGGCATCCTCAGGTAAGTCCTTGCTGGTGCTAGGTGCTGGTCCAGTATCCTGGGCATCCTCAGGTGAGTCCATGCTAGTGCTAGGTGCTGGTACAGTATCCTGGGCATCCTCAGGTAAGTCCTTGCTGGTGCTAGGTGCTGGTACAGTATCCTGGGCATCCTCAGGTGAGTCCTTGCTAGTGCTAGGTGCTGGTACAGTATCCTGGGCATCCTCAGGTGAGTCCTTGCTAGTGCTAGGTGCTGGTCCAGTTGCCTGGGCATCCTCAGGTGAGTCCTTGCTAGTGCTGGGTGCTGGTCCTGTAGGCCTACTGTTAAGCTGTACCAAAAACTTTTGAATCTTTGTTTCTTCATTATGAGCTTCTTCATTATAATATCTTTCAATCCTCTTAGGTGTAGATAATAATCTGCCACGTCTTCATCATCAGTTACAGCAACCATATCAAGCAGCTGATTAAGGTTTTGTAATGATGCAGCATATGGAATAGGTAACATGCTACAGGTATCTTCCTCCTCTTCCGCATCCTCATCAGCATTACCAGTAACACACTGGATAATCTCATCATCAGTTAATTCACCATAACCTTGATCATCAGCATCATTATCTAACCACTCAGTCACATCAGAAAGTTGCAAATCTTCCTTGCCAGCATCTCTTAATGTCTCAAAAATCGCATTATCAAAGCCCTCAAAATCAGTCATCTTCGTCTTCATTCTCACCAGGTACCAGACTCAGAATTTTATTCCATGCGTTCTTTAATGTGGTGACCTTCAACTCGTTCCATTGTTTGGCCCAGATGTAAATAGCATCTTTAATTGAATATTTCTTGAAGTTTTCTAGTGTTCTACTAGCTCTTGTATCCTTATTAAGCCTCTCGTCTTCCTGAGAGAGCAGAACTTCCATTATTTCTACATTCATAGCTCTCTTATAAAGCCGTTTGAGAGCATAAATAACCCCCTGATCCATGGGCTGTATTAGAGATGTAGTATTTGGTGGTAAAGCCATACATGTTATTTTACCATCAGGCGATGTTAATTTAGCAATGGGGTGAGCTGGGGCATTATCAACCAACAGCATTGCCTTTACATCAGCAGGACGAATGCCACGCTCATTGATCTGATGCTTTCTTACTTCTTTACAAAAGTGATTCTGGAACCAGTCTTCAAAAATAATCTGTGTGAACCAGGCATTTTTGATGTTGTAAACGACAGGTAATCTGTTCATGCAGTTTTTCAATGCTCTGGGGTTGGCAGATTTCCCAACAATTGCGCACTTTGTTCGGTGACTGCCATCTGCATTACCGCACAATAATGCTGAAATTCTTTCCTTGCTGACCTTGCGACCAGGAATACTCTCCTCAAGCCTAGAGGCCAAAGTGTTTCTTTGAAGGCATTTCCAGTTAAAGCCTGTTTCATCTGCATTGTACACTTGAAACCAGCTTAGATTATTAGATACCATGTGCTGAGAAAGTTTATATTTAAATGCATTAACACTTCCTACATCTGCACTTAAGGCTTCGCCACAAATTTTCTTGTTAATGATGCCATGCCTCTCTTTAAATCGACATACCCATCCAGTGCTAGCCTTGAAATTGTCAATGTTTAACTTTTCAGCAAGTCTTTCAGCTGCATTTCTAATAGAATCAACTGAAACAGCAATTCCTTTCGCACGATGCTGTGTAAACCATTTGAATACAGCAAAGTCCAAATCCGTATATTTAGCAGGCTTCAATGTTTTCCTGTTGCCTATTGCATGAGTTTGACTTTGAGCAACGAATTTCCTAATATTATCCTTCTGCTTTTTTCAACCCGTTCTCGCAAATTTAATAAGTCAATATTGACTTATTAAATATGTGCATAGGTGACATACTTAACATAATAGATACCCTTAAAAAGATTCATAGAAAACACCGACCTTACCTAACCTACTTAGTATGTTAAGATAAGCATCTTATTGCTTCGTAATTACAATTATTACCTAACCTATAATAGGTATAGGTTAAGTAATAATTGTAATTACGAAGCAATAAGATGCTTATCTTAAGATACTAACAAGGTTAGGTAAGGTCGGTGTTTTCTATGAATCTTTTTAAGGGTATCTATTATGTTTAGTATATCACCTACGCACGTAGTTAATAAGTCAATATTGACTTTACGAATTTGCGAGAACGGGTTGGCTTTTTTATATCACAAACTGTAGCTCTACCGATGTTGAATTCTTGGGCGAGACGGGTGACTGAGTATCCACGCTCTGCTTTCTCTATTAAATCAATTTTCTGATCAATTGACAAATATTTTCTCTTTCGTTTTAAATCCTGAACACCACGAATGCTGCTCTGAGACATCTTGACAGAGTATAAGAGCTCAAACGATAAAAATTGTTCAAAATTATCCTTCACGCGCGAGCAACACGTTTTCACACTGGGAGGAGGGGAGACAAATGGTGCCAGCCACCTCACCAAGGCCTAACGTTTACACGACCTGTGCTTGTTTTATTGGCCTACTCAAAATTTAATCTAAATAGGCTTACAAATTGTTTTCAAATAATATTGTTTGTTGTTATAATTAATAAAATATTGTCTGTTTTGAAGTTTTATTCATTTTATACAGTACAGTACTGTATTACATAAAACCTAATGTATTACAATACAGTACGTAGGCTGTTAGAGGGAGGGAGGGAGAGATCCAGGAAACAAACCCCCCTCCCCCTTCCCTGCAATGGCTCAAGGAGTGACCTGCCGGCCACACAAAGCCAACTGTTATCTACACCCCAATTTTATTAAAAATTCAGTGAAAAGGAAATGTGTTGAAACTGTTTAAAATATGTACTGTATATATCACAATTTTCACCATTATTATTGCGCCAATATAACATTTTTCTAATAAAAAGGCTATTCTCAGTGTTGATAATGCGATAATTATTATTAAATTGACTCTTGGCATCTGACGACGAGAGAGGAGAGGAGTAGTGGCTGGTCTCTGGTGGTCAGGTGCAGGTGGGGGGGGGGGGGGGCTGGAGAGGTAGCAAGGAGCCGCCAGTCACATGTGGTGCCTGCCTCTACAGCCTTTACTGACACCACTACTGTACCTGTACAGTATTACTCCAGCCTCCCTTGACAACTTCTACCACTGACAACACCTGCCCCCTAACAAAAACCCCTAACTACTGACACCATTTGCCTCCTGACAACAACTCTCTCACCAATCCCCTCCTGACACCATTTTATCACCATTTCAGCTGGTTGTCAGCTGCCTGGCTGACAACCAGCCTCCCATGAGAATACGTAACTTACACCACCTGCCCCCTAACAAAAACCCCTAACTACTGACACCATTTGCCTCCTGACAACAACTCTCTCACCAATGCCCTCCTGACACCATTTTATCACCATTTCAGCTGGTTGTCAGCTGCCTGGCTGACAACCTGCCTCCCATGAGAATACGTAACTTACACTACCTGCCCCCTAACAAAAAACTCCGTGGTGTAGTTGTAAGTCTACTCGCCTGACTACTCTACAGTCAGACTACTCCGACTAAGACTACTCCGCAGTCTCCGTGGTGTAGTTGTAAGACACGTGCCTGGCGTTCCGCGAGCGCTATGTCATGGGTTCGTATCCTGGCCGGGGAGGATTTACTGGGCGCAATTCCTTAACTGTAGCCTCTGTTTAACGCAACAGTAAAATGTGTACTTGGATGAAAAAACGATTCTTCGCGGCAGGGGATCGTATTCCAGGGACCATAGGATTAAGGACTTGCCCGAAACGCTACGCGTACTAGTGGCTGTACAAGAATGTAACAACTCTTGTATATATCTCAAAAAAAAAAAAAAAAAAAAAAAAAAAAAAAAAAAACCTAACTAATGACACCACTTGCCTCCTGACAACAACTCTCTCACCATTACCCCCCTGACTCCATTTTATCACCATTTCTCCCTAGAAACAATGGGTAAGGATAATAAAACACTACACATGTATAACTGTTTACACTGGCGAATCATAGTTGATGACAGCCAGCTCCGACACTCGGCCTCGGTGACCACTTGGACGAACATTCCTCACTTAATCGAACATTTGTATGTTCCACTGAACATTTGGTACCGAATTCAATTTGTTCGGCTCTTCCGGGAATTCGATAGAGCGGGGTCTGTTAGACTGAGGAAGCACTGTACTTTCAGTGCGGTGGAAAGACAGGCGTGAAGTGAACATGTTGACCACCATTCACGCTGGAACAATGCTGGACAGTGGCAAGGTGAACAGAATCACCAGAGAACTAATCTATAAGCCAGATTGCATCTTGGACAATAACATCAACATGCATTTGGTGGATAAATGTGATATGATGGTGGGGGCAGTAGTGTGTGTACGGAAAACAGTGAAGTGGACCAAGAAAATGTTTTTCCATCTTGTTGATGTAACAATGCTGAACAGTTACAATATGTATCTTGACAAAACAGGTGGTAAACGTAATTTCCGTGCATTCAATTTTACTGTAGCAACACAATTACTACAGAAGTTTGGCAAAGTAATTCCTGGCATACAGAGGCCCATTCTGAACCCAGTATTGCACCATGCTCCAACACCCAGCCTCGCTTACAGAAATGCCTTTTTGACACACAATCTCAGGTTTTTACCACCAACTGGAAAGCGTGCAGTAGGCCAGCGTGCATGTGTAGTATGCTGGTCAACAACCAAGAGGGAACAGAAAAGAAAAATGGTGATGACTTGGTGCATAGCGTGTCAAGTCCCTCTGTGCCATGTCCAATGTTTCAACGAGTATCACAGTCTTGATGACTTCTAAATGTCCAAGACTGGTGCCAAAACATGTAAATACAGAATAAGTGGGTGTATATAGTGGAAATAAATCATAAGAAATTTATATTTTATTGAGAAATAAGACATTTTTGTGCAGATACTTGTGACACTAATATGTGGATACAATATACATTGACAACAGTTTTATGTTTATAAATCTTCTTGTGAGAACATATTGAACCACACCAGTGAAAAAAATGGGTGTAAAATACGCCATAGATACTGTAAATAATAACGCGAAAATAAATTCGAGGCAACTCGGGCTCCTTCTCCGTTGTGCCTGACTCACCCCGGGCGCACAGCGGTCCAGCGAAGACGAAGTGTGACGTCATCGCTGATCTACTCGGCTCATTTACATTAACGTTAAATGCAATTAATTTTTTTTATTATTTTTCCTGTGCTCAGAGAACACAAATAAAGAGATTAAAAAGAAAAAAAATTTGGAATTTTTTTGTTGTTGCGCCTGTGGGTGTTAATCCCATTTCGACCCCTAGCGGCCCGAGGGTTAATCGAACATTTGTATGTTCCACTGAACATTTGGTATCGAATTCAATTTGTTCGGCTCTTCCGGGAATTCAATAGAGCGGGGTTCGTTAGACTGAGGAAGCACTGTACTGTTTTAATGTTTACTTTACCTTATGAAGAGTAGTTGCTAGCTTGAGGGAGACGATGGGGAGGTGGGAAGGAGGAGAGGGGTTATGGTGTGGAAGGAGATTCCACCTCTGAGTCAGGCACTCTCTCTCTTCTTGGGAATTTAAACCAAATTTCATTTCAAATGTCACACAAGGATGCGTTAGACCAGCACCAAATAAAAAACTATGTCAATTACACTTGTTGTGTCAACAATACAATGGTCTTACCATGAAGATACAATACAATGCCGTTCTCCCAAATAGGCTATGTGGCTATTAGAGAAAACGGAAATTTCTTGGCAAACATGTTTATACTATCCCCAAGTCGATCGGATAAGAATTGGATTTTATAGAAATATTTGCTCAAGTGACGCTTGAGCGCAGTGTTTGGGTGCATTCAAGAGAAAAAAGTGTGTCACGTTCAAGTGACATATACCTGCGAAAGTGATAACACTTTCACAAAGTGATAAATTAATTAAACATTTTCACACACCGGGTTGTCACTGCTTTATCAGAGCAGCTTTTCCAAGAATGCGTTCACCTTTTCAAACATGCCCAACACTTCCCTGATCTCAGTGGAAGAGGCAGCATCCTCCCTTACCTCCTCATTCCCTTACGAATGGTGTAAATTGTTGATGAGGACCTGCCATACTTCCTTGTGAGATCAGTCACACAGACACCACACTCATGCTTTGCTATAATTTCCTTCTTCAAATCTACAGTAATTGTGTCTTCCTCTTGACAACACTATCATTAGCAAGCAGCTTCTTTGGCGATATCGTGCATTACAAATTGTAGTCACAAAACCACTAAAAACCCAAAGAAAAGTGGAAATAAATCCAGAGGGATGCTTGTCGTGTGCGATACAACAACAACACTGGCGTCGGAGGCATCCGAGAATTTGCGAGAACCCGCGAGACGCTAGGAAGCACCATGTGGTTTTGCTCGTTAACCCTTCAATTGCGCATCGCATCATATGATGCTTTGACCGACTTGCAGTAAATTGCGCATCGCATTATGTGATGCTTTGGAGTACTACGCAAGATTTAAACGGCCCGCGGATACACGGGGTTCACCACACCTTCATCAGGGCTCTTGTAAACAGACGCCATTTTTTAAAAAAATCGTGAGCCAAACTCCCGGGTGTTAGGGGCCTCAGTATTGAGTCAGCTACCAAGCCTGACGCACGCAGCATGAACTCACAGCACTGCTGTTCAGCTTGTGACTACAGCATCGCCTAAAAATGCCATAATATACTTGTTCATGCTATTATGTAGCGATGATATTATTACAGAAGACCCCTGACTGTAATAAAACTGACCAGGGTTCTGATAATAGCAGGATTGTGGTGATATTTGGCGCTGTGCGCCATGGAGGGAGGAGTAATGCTGTGGGAGAGAGGATGGTGGCGTTGTCTTTTGAGTGTGTGTGGCCACCTTTTATTGACTGCACTCACCATACCAGCTTAGTGGTTCGCTATGGTGAACACAAATGTAAATACTTATATATAACGTGTGTATAGTGTGAGATAACAGCGAGAGTAGGAGGTTGGGAGCCGCCATTTTGGTGAGGGAGGAGCGTCGTCTGCAGGACTTATCATGTTGTTTACTGGTGACCACGATGGTCTTTGGGCACCATACCAGTTTACTTGTACAAGTATGGTGAATAAAACAGGTAGATATTTATATATAATGTGTGTATATAGCGTAATAACACCACACAGTATTGTTGTAGGAGAAATATTAGTGCGTCTGGCCTTGAGGGCGGCAGCCATCAGCTGACTGTGTGAGTAGCTACGTCTTTACTCACCATACAAGCTTAGATGTACAGTTATGGTGAACAAAACATGTAAATACTTATATATAACGTCTGTATATAAAAGCAAAAACAGTATGGAGAATG